TCTAACTCTCATCCCTCTCCCTTCCTCTCTGTAAAAAATCAATAAAATATATTTTAAAAAACTTTTAAAAAAAGGTGTTCTGGGTTAGTTGAGTAGTGTCCCCTTGTTTCTTCCTTAGCACTGCACTCTATTTATCTATTTCCTATGGGCCTTCAGCTAGAGAAGCAGTTTCTTTTCATCATTCTTCCCCCAGAAGCTCAAGTAGTGCCAGGGCCTCATTTCATATTAATTGGGACTTGAGGGGACTTACATACCTTTTAAAACTAGCCCCTGACATCCCAATTTATGGCAATTTTCCCTTCTCACAGGACAGACTATATTGTGCCTTCAACCACACTTTGGTGGGCATGACTTATCTTTCTTTATTCACCTTTGTAGTCCTCAAAGCAGACATTGCCTGACACAGACTAGGAGTGCAGTTGGTGTGGGCTGGATGGCTAGAGAGTTGGTTGAATGGTTGTTTAACTGACTGGGTAAAGGTCTCACAGAAAGTTGGAAATTGCCTTCCCACCAAGAAGCCAGTTTTAGCTTCCACTCCCCCATTAGTGATCACATAGGAGTGGGACACCAGGGCCCCGGGAGGGGGGGCATGAGTCACCATATTATCAGAGGAATGAGGGAGGGCAGAAACATCTCTCCTTGTGCAAGGGTCAGAGCCATGAGTCTGAAGCATAAACACAACAGCCTTCACTATCCCCTTGGTCTATGGCTAATCTAAATTACTTTATGATGGAAGGAAATGGGGTTAACTGAAAGCTATTCCACATGGACCCAGACTCAAAGGGATTTCTAGGAAATTATTTAGATCAAGGCTTTTATTGCTCAACCAGTTGCTCTTTGTTGGCTCTTCTCTGCTTTCCCTAGTTGAGGATGAATTTCTAACTCCTTCCATAGAACCTTCCCAAATTAAAAGGAGCAGGAAGAACACTTGAGATTTTGTTCCCTGCATATGTCATCAGTTTAGCTCAAGTAAATTCTTATTAAAAAAAGGGGGGGGGGAGAAGAACCTCCAGGTCAGCCTTATCTTAAGATGAAGGGAAGGTTTGTGCTCTGTTTTCCTCAAAGGCCCTTAGATTACAGTAGCAGACAGGGGCAGGAGGGCTGCAGGAATCTAAAGAGCAACAGGTGTTCTTATCATAATCACAGACCCTGTGGGAAGGGTTTCCAAGCTTATGTTCAGACTCTGACACTCTATGACTTTAGGGAAATTACCTCTCTCAGCCTCCATTTTATTTCCTGCAGAAGATCCATTTCATTGGGTTATTTAGAGCATGTAATAAATTGATGGATCTGAAAGTGTTTTGGTTGCCAGGTGGTGGGGCATTGGAGCCCATACCAAACTGGTGTCCACTCAGCATAGCAGAGTCAGCAAGACAACCCATCTTCTAACCTTCAGTGGCCCCAGTTGAGAGCACTTGGGTTCCCGGTTCCAGACCAGAGACATTACTTCTTATTAAACTTCTGTTCATCAAGCCCTCTCTCTCCACCTTTATTCCTGCCTGCTGCCATTCCTTCTAACTGGGCTTGGATGCTGGAGTCCTAGCCTCTGCACCAAAGATGGCTCACTTCAGGAGTGTAATGATGGTAGTGCCCGTTATAACAGGTTCCTGTGTACTGAGGCCCACTAGGTCCAGGGGCTGGGTAAGCTGAATCTTGTAGGGCCCCATATGGTCAGTGTTGCCATAGTTAACATCTTCATTAGTTAGGCTTTGTTAATTCCAAAAGAAGTTGAAACAAAGCCAAATTGTTGGCCTCCCAAAATCCTATACCTCCAGAGTTAGTTAGGGTAATTGGAACTGAGATGTTGTGACTTATTCAAATATAAGCTTGGCATTTCCTCTGATGGGACAGTTAGCCAAGCCCAGGTTGGCCAGCTGGTATACTCAGTGAATTTGTCCTGCTCTCCCAGATCCCCCTCAGAGGAGACCAGGAGAGCCTATGTGTTCCCAATGTTACCTTGTTGGCCATAAGTTATTTTCCTCAGGGAGCTTGAGGACCACTGTCAGGCTCTTCCTATTGGCTGTGAACATTATTGAATCAGCAGAGTCCTATTTTGGGAGTCAGGAGACTGGGGCACTAAAACCATCTGTGTAACCCTAGGAAAATTTCTTTACTTATGTGGACCTTAGTTTCTCCATCTGGCAAATGGAGATTATCAGATCTATTTCACTTTCCTCACAATGGTTACTCAGAGAATGAAAGGAATGAACACATAGCAAATTTAGTAAATAACTTAAATGAAACAATTATTGTGAAAAGGAGGAGCCCTGGGCAAGATGAAAAGACTAAAGTTTTCCTGGGGAGGAGGGGTTTTACTTTCATAATATCTTCATAAAAGTCTAGAATTTTTCTATCCAGCCAGAGGGAATAAAGGCCAGTTTCCATCTTACCCTGCCCTTAGCCCAATTCTCTCCATCACACCTGCCCTGTATGGGCCACTTTGAAAGAATAAAACAGTTATTCAATCAACAAATGTTTATTGATCATCTACTATTTGCCAAGCACTCTTACAGGTAGTCTTTATCTGTAAGTCTGTAGGATACATAGATGTCTAAGATATGGCCCCTACCCTCCAAAAATTTACAATGTACTTGTGAAATCAGATATACAAACATAAAAATATAACTATGCATCAAAATTGTGAATGATAAGCATCAAAGAAGTGAATTGTACATTGAAGGAGGGGAAGAAAGGGACGGAGTGGTCAGAAGAGGCTCAATGAAGGAGATGGTGCTGAGCAAGTGGTTCAAGCATGAGGAAAACTTGGCAAAAGGGATAGGGCTTTCCAGTTTGGAAGAACAGCTTCAACATAGGCAAGGAAGTGGAAGACATGCAAGGCATGCTAGATACAATGAATGGGCCCTTTCTGCCGGCACTGAGGTTTGGGGAGGTGTACTGGGGTTCTTCAGAAGTTGTGAGTAAAAATGCCTTTGGTTTATGACTCACACCTCCACCCCTACCCCAGGGGAAATGGAGCATTTTCAGGTCTTGGAGCTGGAACTGTCTGCTTGGGAACTATTCTGTACTTTCTCACCTCACCTGAAATCCCAGGCAGCAGCTCAGCTATCACTCAGATCAGGGTCATAACACCTTGGGCCTGATTATTCTATGCTGAAGCCCTTGGATACATTCTGGCAGCTCAGGACTATCTGGTGAAGAATTCTGGGGGAATATGAAGGACAGCATGAGGCCCACCTTGTGCTGTGGTCTTTCAGTCTCTGTAGTGTGCTCTATGGTTAGACCCCCGAGGGTCTGATCTCAGCCTTTGGGCTGATTTTCTATTAGGTTTGAAGACTCTCTGGGAGGCTGACTCTCTCTGGCCCAATAGAAACATCTACTGGAGAAGCACACATGTCTACTTAGCTTCTTAGATATCAAAGTTCTTATTCTTTCTTGGGCGCCAGTGTCAAGGAAAGATATCTTTCACAGTCCCCCACAGCTCCCACACTCTCATCTTCCAGTCAAGGGCCATCTCTAGAAAAATTACTTTCCCATTTCTAAGGAAACCATTGTGTGGGGCCCTTAGCCTTGTTATTTAGCAGGAGGCCAGGTCAGGTGCCTCAGAGGGAGGCAGAAACTTCAGTGAAAGTTGGAGCTGCAGCTTCTGAGGCAGTTCCTCAATGGAGTAAGAGTCTGCTGCTGCCTGGAGTGGAGTTTTACTTCATATCTTCTTTCCTTGTTTTCCTCTAGCTGTGGGCTAGATCCCTAACCCACAAGTGTGAGGAAATTCTGGAATTTCTCTGGGCAGTGGCTCTGGTCTTTTGGGTCCTCAGCTACCTTCCTTCCCTGTCATCCTGCATCCAGTTGTTCTCTGTTCCCTCTGTACAGTGTGATGGCTCTATTTCTGTTCATGCACAAATCAGTCTGAACTCTGTAGAGTCATAACAAGAGTGGGATGGACTCTCCAGGGCCCATTAGTGGCCAGTCAGTTTATTTGGAGGGAAGCTTGAGGAGGAGGATTTGAACCATCTTCATAAAAGCCACCACTCTTTCTTTCCTCAACCCCAGCAATGAGCTGAGAGTCAACCTCAGCCAGAGGGTCAGTCCGTGGGATGCGATCAGTGGGTTTATGAATGGATTGCCAGGTAAACCAAAAGGCAGATTGGATCTGTGGAGTCTGGCCTAGAGTAGGGGGTGGATTTGGAGTTGAGAGTTGGGGGATTCAGGGTGTAGGGTTGGGAACTAAGGTGAAGGAAACAGAAAGACTGGCTTGGTAAGCATATTGACAGTTCAACCTGGACACTGTCACACCAGAATTCATTTTTGCATTCTCTTGATCCCATGGCCAAAGTCAGTCTATCCTCAGCACCACCTTCTGACATGATCCAGCAGCAATGTCTCTCACCTGTGGTCCTGTGGGGGGGCTGTCCACTGTTTTTTACAGACCCAGCCACCACCACCCCCAGCTCTAGCCCCTGGTTCTTCACACATACCCTGTCAGGCTGTAGGAGTTAAACTCATTCTTGACTTTAGGCGGTTGACCAGATGTTGGAGAGCTCCTAGTGGCGAGGGGCTGGGCCTGGTAGGCATCATAGTAGTTGGGGCGATTTCCCTGGGGTGAGCAGGAAAAGGAGAGGATGACTCCAGCTACCAGGGAGAACAGAGAGGAAATAATGCCCAAGTAAAGGGCCTCTCCGATTTCAAATTTCATGCTGTCAGGCACCAGTGGGGAGTAGAAGTCCCGCAAGATCCCATGAAGATTCCAAGCAACAGGGATGAAGCTCAGGAGGCCTCCAAGGATGAAGAAGACTCCACCCACTATCGCCACTCTGTCCTTGGCTCGGGAATCCTGGCAGAAGACTGTGCATCTCATGCCCACCACAGAGATAATGCAGGCCAACGAGGAGATTGCACTGGACGTCACCATCATGGCCTGGGCAGCCTGGATGTCAGGGGGCAGGCCTAGAAGAGTGCTGTAGATGTCACACTGGGTGATGCCTGTGCTGTGTGTGGCACACTCCATCCAGAGGCCCTTGGAGAAGCCGACTGCCGTCACAATGCTAGCACCGACATAAGAACTTGTTCGCCAGCTGGGAAGCAGCATGGCCACCAGGGTGCCTAACAGTCCCAGAAGGCCCAGGATATAGCCTATAAGTTGGGTGCCAAGAGAGGCCATGGCAGACCTCTCAATAGAAGTGTCTTCAGGGCTTGCCTTCTTGTGTTCTGGCTGCAGCTCTTGCTCCTTGGATCCCAGCCTCTATTTCCTAATTTCAGAGAGTCTCTGCTATGCTGACTTCTCTTCTCCTTACAAGTGTCTGTGGGTGGCCACAATCAGGCTCAAGAAGGCATCTAGAAGACCTAAAAAAAAATCCATAAACCAGATTAAATATTGACCAGAAGCTTATGAGAAACCAGAAAATACCGGGTGCCTTTTGAACTTTGTTATCTTTAGAAATAACACACGAGAAAGGAAAAAAAAACTGAAAGTGGAGCCAAAATGTCATCACCTCCTGCGTAGGCACATGCCTTAGGTTGGCAGCCAGACAGAATTAGGGGCCAGACAGGTGGCCACTTTCGAGAAGGTGATGATGGCAGTGGCAGTTGTGGTGGCTGTGTTAACTCCACGTTAGGCTGTTGGCTGGCGTGGTTCTGTCTCCAAGGCCTTCTGTTTAACACATTGCCCAGCAACGGTGACACAGGGCCCCTCAATTGCAGACTGAGGCCAAACTCCAGGAGACTGGACCAGGAATAACAGGTCCTAAGATATAGCCTTGGACTCCAAGTTATTAGAGGCCTCTTGAATCTTCAAGGGCCTAGAAAGCAGTGGTTTAGCTCTGGGTCATCCTGCCCATGGTGAAAATCTACTCCAGGGCAGGTTGGGGCAGGCAACAAAGTCTTTTGTCTATACTTTGAGAGTTCAGGTTCTCTAGGACCTGCCCAAATCCTCCTCCACAGGATAGCCTAAAGCCTGCATATATAATACACCCAGACATTTTCCATCTGATTTCCTAATAGATGGCCACATCAGCCCTAGACCTCTCAGATGATGTGGGAGGACTCTGGAGCAAAGGTTGTTCCAAGGCCTGGATGGAGCCCTGAAATTCCTTGGGCTCTCTGTTAGGGTGAACAGAGGAAAGGGAAGCCAAACAGAGGACTTTGTAAGGGGAAAACATATAAGCCAATCCTTTGGAATCTCAGAGCTGTCCAGGATTTTGCAGTGTTGAAGGAGCCCCTAATCTTGCCAAGGTTCAAGACACTAAGGGTAAAGGGCACATCCTTCCTCCCATCTTCTACAAGATCCTCCAACCCATTAACTTTCCAACCCAGCATAATCTGGCTATTTCATTTTAGCATTCCTCAAAATTTCTCTTACCTTACCCATCTCTTAAATGTGAGTTTTCCTCAGAAGTCCATCCTTTTTCTCAATTAACACTCTATCCCTGAGTGCATCTATGCACTCTCATGACTTAATCTCACACCCATCCACTGGCATTCCCAGATCTGTATTTCCAGCATAAACCTTCCTCCTGAGCTTCAAGACTGCCAAAGCAATTACCTATTTAAAATCACTTGAAAATCTCATAGGCACCTCAAATTCAATGTGCTTAAGTGAGAAATATCGTACTTTTCTGTGTATAAGATGCCCCCATGTATAAGACGCCTCTCGCTTTCCCAACCCAAAATTAAGAAATCAATATTTTAAACATTTTGCTGGTTTTCCTCTTAAGGTCTTCTTCTTTTTTGGCATCTTAAGGAGTTGTTCTCCCTGTTTTCCCCACTGTCTGATCATGCACTCAGTGGGAGGAGGTCCAAGTTGTCTCTCTGCAGCTCTGTTTCCATGCTCTTTTGCATAGCTGATTACAGTTTGAATTTTGCAGAGTAAGACAATCGCTTATTAGTATTTATATTTTTTTATTTTTTGACATCTTTGTGGGCCCAGAATGCTCTGGTCTCTGTTGCATCTGCATACTCTCCACCTCCACCTACAATTATGGCATCAGCTGACATCAGTAACAGTAAGGCTCATGATTGGAGGAAACCAGTTTGACAAGGTATGGGCAGCTATGCACCCACATGGCTCCCTCCTCCGCTGACTTCCGTGTATAAGATGCCCCTCAATTTTCAGTCTAACTATTTTAGAAAAAAATAGCATCTTATACATGGAAAAATATGGTAGTCACTTCTCCCATTGCACCCCTCCACAAGCAGGTATTCCCTGGGTTCCTGAATGACACTGAGTGATATCTCTATCAATCCCCTTGTGCCGGATCAAAATCCTGGGAGTGATTCTTGATACCTCTCTTATACTTATCCCTCATTCTCTGTGGTTACTGTCTCACCAATTCTACCTCATGACTATACCTCAAATCCATAGTACCCGTCTCTCCATCCCCACTGCTACTTCCCTAGTTCAGAGCTGCTTCATTCTCTTTCCTCTGGACTATAATAATGACTTCCTAACTGGTCTTACTTCCAATCTTGCCTCCTCCAATTCATTCTCCACGCTGTTGCTAAGGTGAACTTTCAACATATTAATCTGATCAAGTCACTACTCTACATAAAACATTCCAGTGGCTCCCACCAGCTAAAGAATGAAGTCCAAACTTGTTTGTATCCTATGACCTCTCAAGCTTCATCTCTTGTCGTTTCCCTCTTCATACTCTATGCTTTGACTAAACTAAAGTACTTTCAGTTCCTTAATCAGATCATGTTATCTTTTGCTTACAAACCTGAGCATTGGTTGTTCCTTCTATGCAGAATGCCTGGCATTCTTCTCCCTCTGTTCAGCGCCTTCTCATGCTTTAGGACTCAGCTCAGATATCTCTTACTTTAGCCAGGTTCAAGTGCCCCTCCTCTATGTTCTTACAATATCTTGTGTTTACTTACCTCCACCATAGTAATAATAATAAGAACAGTAACACTTATATAGTGTTTCCTATGTGACCATTATAAGCACTTCACAAATGTTAACTCATTTAATACCACAATAATGCTTTGTGGTACCCAAATCCCCATTGTACAGACGAGGAAACTATAGAAATCCTTATTCTTCCCCACTAGTTTGTAAACTATTTAAAGTCAAGGATTGTATCTTATTCATTTCTGTATCTCAAGTGCCTTACACAGTGCATTTGAACACCCAGAGTGGTGACAAAGAGAGAGATACAGAGAAAAAAAGAGACAGAGAAAAACAAAGTTTCACCATTTTATATGTATATGCATTTATTGAATATCTTATCTCCTCAACCAACCTCTAAACAATTTGAGGGAAGAAATCATATATTAAACTTCTGTTGTGCCTCTGCTGTATTGGGCATATGGTTGATAATCAATAGTATTCCTTCCTCCACGATGGATATGACAATACCAATGTTGATGCAAAGCAGTGGAGAGCAGGGGCCAATAAACATTTGATAGGAGGTAGGAAGGGAAATCTAGCTTGGATCTCAGCTCTGTCACTTTCCAGCTGTGACCCTGTGCAAGTCATTTCCAGGTATTGGCTTTCTTATTGCTAAATGGGGCACAATTCCTGATCCTGACTGCATCCCACTGGGCCTTCAGTGCTGCTTGGAAGTTCTTCTACATTTCCCTAGTGAGCATCTCCAGGGGACTACTTCAAATACTTATCACTCTTTTTGAGCCACCCTCCCTCTCCTCTTTCCAGCTATTACCCTATCCACAGCATTCTCTTTGCAGCCAAAATTCTTAAACAAGCCATTTAATATTGATGTCTCTACTTCTTCCCTTTCCCACTCACTGCTCAACCCTCTGCAGTCTTGCTTCTGCCATTAACCCTCTACTGAAAATATTCTCACTAAGATTACCAATGATTTCCTTATCCCAAAATCCAATTATCATATCCCTGTCATTTCACCTTGTCCCTCTCCTTCATAGAACTGTCTTCTCCCTTGTTTTCTAGAACACCACTCCAGTTTTCCCGGTCCCTCAAAATGATTCTGTTATGTCTCTATTAAAAGTTCTTCTGCCCCCTCTATAAATCTGATTATTCCACTTAGGGTTTAATCTAGACTTTTTATTTTGTATTTTTTTTCCCATTCACAATAGTCCATGTTTTTATTGGGCCTCCTTTTGAAAGGGGAATTGTTCATGGATTGACTGATTTTCAAAACTTACTTTTTTGTTTTTATTTATTTTTATTTTTTTCCAGCACCATTTATCCCCTCTATGCCTTCTCCCACCTCCACCCATCCCCCTTTCCATATTCTCCATAGGTGATCTCATCCACTCTGTCTCTATGCTAATGACTCCTAAGTCTAGACCTCTAGCACAGATCTCTCTCCTGAACTCAAGATTTGTGTATTCATCTGCATTTGGAATGACCTCATCTGAATGTTTTAATGGCACCTCAAACTCAACATTGATTCCTCACCTCTTTTTTACATATAGTCATTTATGAAGTCCTATCAGATCTACTGTCAAAATATATCCTGAATAAACCCATTTTTCCCACCTCCATTGCCTAAACTTTAGTTTAAATGATACAACTATTATCTCTTGTCTGTTTGGAAATCTCATAGGCACCTCAAATTGGTCTCTTTAATTCCACTTCTGCCCTGCCCTTGTAATCAATGATCCATCCAGTAGTCAAGGATCTTTCTAAAATGGTGCCTTTTTAATTATTTATTTATTTAATTTAAATCCTCACTCGAGGAGCAAGGATATTTTTTCCATTGATTTTTAGAGAGAGGGGAGAGGAGAGAGAGAAAAAAACATCCAAATGAGAGAGACACATCAATTTGTTGCCTCTTGCTCATGCCTTGACTGGGGCTGGATTGTACCTGCAACGGAGGTACATGCCCTTGACTGGGAATCGAACCCTTGACCCTTTGGTCTGAGGGTCAACACTCTAACCAATGTGCCAAACTGGCTGGGCAGTTCTTTCTAAAATGGAAATTAAATCATAAGTGCCACCCCACCTCTTTACTATGCTTAATAAAACTTCAGGATCTCTTATTTGTTTTTAGGATGAAGTTCAAAATCTAGCCCAAGATGCCAGGCAAGTCCTCAGTTGTCTGACTCCTGCTTTTCTTCCCAGCTTCAAACCACACACACACACACACACACACACACACACACACACACGCACACACACTCCAGCCATACTTGAACACATGCACTTCTCTGAATTTGCCTTTTTCTCTGTATCCAAACCCTTAAGCATGTTATTTTACCATTCACCATTTGTCTGACTAATTGCTAGCCATCCTTCAGGATTCATCCTCTCCTTGAAACGTTCCTTGGACCCCTCTTTCTATCCAGTCTGTGTTAAATACTTTTCCTTTGTACTTCCCATCTTTATCTGGGATTTCACTGAATGTTGATGAGCTACCTTGAATTTTGTGGGGGGAAGACCTCCTGCCTCCCAGTTCCTGCTTTAGCCTTTCTGGAATGGTGACTGAAGAGTCCAGCTTGAGTTCCCCATGGAATTCCACAGTATACCCAAGAAGATATCCTCTCCTCAGACCCAATCTTGACTCAGTAGGAGTAAGTAGAACGGGGGAGGGAGAGGCAGAGTAAAAACAAACAAACAAACAAACAAACAAATCACTGAGATTTGAAATCTCTAGAAAGTCTGACTTAGCAAAGCTAGGCAGGAGGAAGAACGAGTTGTTGAAGCTTATGCAAATGGGAAAAATGTTCCAATGTGGGTCAGCTTTCAGCCATGGTCAGGAAGTCAGTGGTGGACAAAATAGCAAGTGATTGGGCGGTGGCCCAGACTAGATTCTGGTTTTGTTTGTGTGATGAGCAGTAGAGGGTTTAGAGAAAGAGTCCTGGCCTGAGAATCAAAAGACCTTGGAAATTCTTATTAGTATGGACTGGCTTTAGCCTTTTCTTATCAAAAGAAAAAAGCCGAGGCTAATTGTTTTCAAGATAGGTGGTATGATGTGGCAGGAAAAGAGCCTGGGCTTTGGAGTCAGACAAGGATTTGGTTTTGCCTCTGCACACTCTAGCTGTGTGGCCTTGAGAGAGTCACTTCAATTCTTTACACTTCAGTTTTCTCATATGTAAAATGGGAATGACAACTGCCTCTAAGTGTGGTCATGGCAGATAGTAGGTCCTTAACAAATGGTTAATTGTATTCTAAGCATATTGATGACCTAAAGGGTAGTGTCAAAGTCACACCGAAATGTATGTGTCTTGGTTCTTCCTGGAACCTGTTCAGGAAGTCCCCTAACTTCTTCAGGCCCTAGTTTGCTCATGTCCAAGAATTTGAGTTTCAAGTAAGGTAATGGGGACAGAAAGCCACTTTGACAAATATAGAAGACTGAACAGCTGTTATTAGAAGCAGGCAGCTCTAAAAGAAACTCCTCTCTTTGAGGGATCCTCCTAGAAGTCAAGCCCTGACTATTACGGAGTAACAGAGAACTCTAGACCTTGCCAGCTGAATTTGTTCTCTGGGCATGGGACCAACATATTCCATGGCCCAAGGGCTGGGCAAGAAGGCTTCATTTAGGATCCTTACCTTAATCTTCCTTAGGGGAGGGATTGGAAGTGCAGGAGAGGATTAGGGGTATCAAGATTGACAGCATTTTCTGAATTAACCACTTCTTTCCTGGGTACTTGCTCCACTAGTCCCTGCATATCTTACTTGAGAGTTTTGTGAATAGTACCCCTTCTTTGGGAGCACCCTCAAAAGATTGAGTGGGACAGGACAAGTGGGTTTCTCCATCCCTTGATCTCAGAGGAATCTGAGACACTTGCTCTCCTCTCTGTATCTCACCCTCAGCTGCCTTAGTAAGTGGCAAAGCCATTTCTTTGAAGCCCTACTTTCTGGAAAGTTTGTCCTTGGAGCAGTTCACCTTTCCTTCTGTATCAATTGATTGATGACAGTTCAGAGAACTACAACTGGATTGAGAGATTTTCTAAATACTTTAAAAATAAGTTTATTTTTTTCCTGATCATCAAAGTAAGCACTCTCATTTTAGAAAGCTAGAAAATGCAGAAAGGCAGAATTTAGAGAACGGATATCACCTACAATGTCTGTAACTAAAATGCTGTTAATGTTTTGTTTGAAACTGCATTTTCAAAGAGAATACTTGAAGAGAATAATGTCTCCATCCAAAGAAGGAACTTCTTTCATTTTTATTGAGATATAATTGACATATTACATTGTATTAGTTTTAAGTGTACAACCTAATTATTTAATATGTGTATATATTGCAAAATGAATACCACAGTAAATTTAGTTATCCATCACATAGTTACATTTTTTTTTTCTTGTTTCTTGTGATGTGAACTTTTAAGATCCACTATCTTGGCAACTTTCAAATATACAATACAGTATTTTCAACTATAATCACCATCGCTGTATTACATCCACAGGATTTATTTATCTTTTAACTGGAAGTTTGTACCTTTTGACCATCTTCACCCATTTCACCCACCCCTGCCTCTGTCAACCACCAATTCATTCTCTGTATCTATGATCTCAGATTTTATTTTTAGATTTTACATATAAGTGAAATCATACAGTGTTTGTCTCTGTCTGGCTTATTTTACTTGGCATAATGCCCCAAGGTCCATCCGTGCCGTCCCAAATGTCTAGATTTCCTTCAAAAAAGGAATTTCTAATTAAAGACTTGCAGACCAGTGGGGGGAAGTTATTTAAGGACTTGAAGGGGAGGCCCTATTACTTCACTCAAATTCTACTTTCTGCTGACTCCCTGAACTTTCATGCTGAGGAAGGCACTGGTCCTGGCTGTGAGGGAGCACCCTTTCCAATCTTCCTTAACCAACCTGATTGTTAGATAGAGGTGTAAACTGTAGCTTCTTTCCTTCCATCCTTCTCTCTCAGTCCTTTTGGTCTCAAAAGCTCTATTCAGAACTTATTGATTTTCAGAGTGCTTCCTGTAGCCCTATAGGTTCAAAGATAGGTAACTTTGTGGTACCCTTGAGGAAACAAACACTGCTAACCCATGTACTATGGAATTTTCTCTCCTTTGCCCTTCCCTCAGAAACCCAAGGTGGCCCAGCCAGACAGCGCTATGAGCCAAATTGAGAGCAACTAGGAAGGAAGAGACTACCTAAGTGAGCTTAAAAGGCAGCAAATAAATTGAAATTGAGACACTTACGAAGTATTTCTTTTGCAGAGCCTTGGAGGAGATGTATGACCCTGGAGAAGATCCTGAAGGGATCCTGAGGGAGGAGAGCAAGGTACAAGGGGCTCCAGGCTGAGGTGATAAAGGATTTCTAATTGTTAGCAGCAGCTTTGCAAAATCCAGTTGCAAATCTTAGCATTGGGTCAGAGACTTATTTCAGATCAGAATTAAACCCCTGGAGGCTGTGGAAGATTGAGGTACTTAAAAAGAAGTTTGGTGAGTTTTGTGTTTTTCCTGTCAAAAACTCCAGCTGAGCTTTTGTGTGGTGACCTCCGTGAGCCCAGGAGAGGCTTTGGGGGAGAGCAGTTTGACCCAAGGAGGAATTCAGAACATTTCAGCTTTGGGAGTAGGGAAAGGAGAGTGTTCTCTTATGCCCATTAGGTGTTCCTGGCTAGGGGCCTTACAGCCCAGCAGGAAGTAAGCCTCATGACACAGCCCGGTAGGCTAGTGCCCAAGCAACCCTGTGCTGTCTATAGCCTCACAAACTCTTCCATGCAATTTGTTCTCCAGCAAGCCCCCATCCCTACTCCACTCTTAAGGTTGACCCCAACGTAGAAGGACAAACATGAATACTGCAGGTAGGTTCAAAGAACAGATCCTTACAAGGTGGGACAGAGGTGGTCATGATAACCATGGGCCTCCCCTTTATACTACACACAAGACTACCATACTCTATATCACTTCAGTCTCCCACAAGGTCTGTGGAGTGGAGTGCAGAGATTGGGTTTCTTCTCCAAATGAGAAAAAAAAAAACTTTTTTCTGGGTTTGTTTGTTTGTTCTCTGATCAAACAAATAGTAGATGCTATTGCAAGGAATTCAGAAAATAAAGCATGAAGAAGAAAATGGAGGTTTTTATAATATCACCAGCAATAGGTATAATGTTCATCATTGTTAACATTTTGATGTACTGTAAAAAACATGAGTCAAAATATTTTTTTATAAAATTGCATCACATTATACCCTGTAATTTTGTAACCTATCATTTCTAAATAATGTAATGATAGGACATTGACATGATCCTATTTCTTGGTCAATTAAAAAATAGACCTGGCCTGGACAGTGTTGCTCAGTGATTGAGCATTGGCCCATGAACCAGGAGGAAGTCATGGTTTGATTCTTGGTCAGGGAACATGCCCAGGTTGCTGGCTCAATCCCCAGTGGGGAGTGCGCAGGAGGCAGTGATCAATGTTTCTCTCTCATTGATGTTTCTATCTCCCTCTCTCTCTCTTCCTCTCTCTAAAATCAATAAAAATATATTTTAAAAAATAGATCTGGATCACTCTCTTATGGCTGCATTGCATTCAATTATATAGATACTAGGGGCCCAGTGCATGAATTTGTGCACCTTGAAAGGAACTGTGGGCAGAGAGGCTACAGTGGGCACAGGGTCAGGTCTCAGCCCATCCTCTACGCCAGTGATGGCGGACCTTTTGAGCTCGGCGTGTCAGCATTTTGAAAAACCCTAACTTAACTCTGGTGCCGTGTCACATATAGAAATTTTTTGATATTTGCAACCATAGTAAAACAAAGACTTATATTTTTGATATTTATTTTATATATTTAAATGCCATTTAACAAAGAAAAATCAACCAAAAAAAATGAGTTCGCGTGTCACCTCTGACAAGCGTGTCATAGGTTCGCCATCACTGCCTTAGACAGTGGTTCTCAACCTTCTGGCCCTTTAAATACAGTTTCTCATGTTGTGACTCAACCATAAAATTATTTTCGTTGCTACTTCGCTCCCACACACTGACAGTGCAGAGCAATTGGGGCCAGCGCCAGCAGCAGGTGCGAGCAGCGGCTGCTGCCCCAATCACCCCTCAGGTGCAGGGGGAGGTGGTGGAGCCCTCAGGGGCAATCAGAGCCAGCAGCCACTGCTCATACCCACTGATGGCACCGAGCGATTGGGACCGGCACCGGCAGCAGGTGCAAGCAGCGGCTCTGGAGCTAGCAACAGGTGCGAGTACCAGGCAGGACCGCGACATGTGGGAGCTAAGAATTTTCAGTAACCACCAGAGGCTCGTTCCGATGACAGCAACTGGTGCCCTGCCTTGGTCCGGTGCCCCCACTCACCTGCTCCACCATCCCACCACTGCAGCCGATGCCCGCCATGTTCTGCGCTCTACCACCTGCTGCCTACTGCCCGCCATGTTCCGCACATGCCCCCTGGTGGTCAGCACACATCATAGCAATGGGTTGTTCGGTTGTTCTGTCTATTTGCATTTTAGCCTTTTATTATATAGGATACTAGAGGCCCGGTGCACAAAATTCATGCGGGGGGGGGGTCCTTAGCCCAGCCTGTGCCCTCTTGCAGTCCAGGACCCCTTGCTCCTTACCGCCCACCTGCCTGCTCACTCTTTACTGCTTGGCTCACTGCTTCTTAGTGCTGCTGCAGAAGCAGGAAAGGCTCCTGCCACCACCACTGCGCTTGCCAGCTGTGAGCCCGGCTTCTGGCTGAGTGGCGCTCCCCCTGTGGGAGTGCACTGACCACCAGGGGGAAGCTTCTGCATTGAGTATCTGCCCCCTGGTGGTCGGTGCCCATCACTGCGCCTGGTTGTTCTGGTCATTCTGCCGTAACGGTCACTTAGGCTTTTATTATATAGATAATTTATTTAACTATTAGACATTTTTGTTATTTCTATTTTCACTTTCATAGCCTAGAATCTTTGCACATAATACTCACAAATTCCTAGGAAAAGACTAGCTAGGGCAAAGAGGATGCATACTTTAAAAGCTAAAACAATCTAATACAAAAGTAAGGCAGCTATTACTATTTCCAGATGAGAAAGCCTAGGTTTCATGAGATGAAATGAATGAGTTACCCAGCATCTCTAGTTGAGCAGTAATAGCTGGACCTACAATCTAAGTCTCTAGATATCTGGTTCAGTGAACTTTCCAGTGTATCACACTAACTCCCTCCTAAGGATTCCTATGCAAAAAAGATAAGACTAGTGGCCACTATTTATTTGGCACTTTCTAGGTGTCAAGCACTGTGCTGAGGGTTTTCTATATATTGTCTCACTGAACCACTGCAGAGTAAGGCCTGGGCACCAAACTTGGCCAATTCTGGAGCTTGGCTCTTCATCATTATTCTCTACCCCATTTTTTAAAGTAATATCAAAGCAATCAGTCAGATTTATTGCCTAGTGAGAATTTAGTGGAGCAAATCAGAAATCATTGTCCTTCTCAAAGTGGCCCATAACTATCTTGCAAGTGCAAATGAGGTACTGACCCCTGGCAGTAGGGTGCTACCCCTTGGCAGGCTGGGACAAGTTCAAAGGGAAGCCATGCCTGAGCTCAGGCCTGGAATTTTGGAGGCATGAAAGCAAGGAAGACCGAAGGGAGTGATAGTAGGTTAATCCTCTAATCAAATTGTGTGACCAGAGACAAGTCTACATATCTTCTTTCTCTAGGCTTCACCCAGCTGACTTCCCAAGGCTGGGCTAATGAACATGAAAGCATTTTGACAAATAAGGAATGCTGGTTGAGTACAAGACAGAATATGTAAAAGGGGTGCCTTACTGTGACTGTGCAATTGAGAATAGGAAAAGGCAAAAAATGATAATAATAAAAATAAATAAATAAAAAGAGAATAGGAAAAGGCAAAATCTTAATGGCAGGTGCCAGGGCAGATGAGGGTACTGTGTTGGCAGGATGTGGTTACCAGACTGGCATTCATTCAAGGACTAGGTTCTAACACTGTGTTTCCTATGGGTCGGCACTGCCAGATCCTGGTGGAATCATGCCAAAGACTTTGATTCCTCAGTGTTCAACCTGGGAGGCTCCTTAGTAATCTTCTGGGACCCTTGCTGAGATCCAGAAAGCCTAGGGGGAATGGAGAGGGCTCTGAAAGAAGAGAAGAAAAGCAGTATTTAGTTAAGAAGAGTAGTGAGCAGTGAGAGAATAAAGAAGGAAAATGAGGGTCTGGATAGAGATGGGTTAAGGAAAAGAGTAAAAGAGGTAGGAAAGGGGTCTTTAAATAAGAACATCAAAGAGAAGACTGTAGAGCAAGGTCTTAAGAGAGAAGGAGTAAATGGTGCTATGAAAAGAGGAGTCTAGAAGGAAAAATAAAAGATTCTAGGGGCAAATGGGGCAGGAGTGAGAGGGCTATGAGGAAAGGAGTTAGGCTCTAAGGCAGAGAGAGGATTAGTGACATCCCATCCCCACTATTGCACAAAAACCCAGAAGTTTTCATCAAGGTTAAAAATGACTCTATGTCACCAAATCCAATGGCCACTTTTCAGTCCTTAACTTCCTTGACCTCTATTGCAGCATTCAATATCTTTGATAACTTTGCCCTATTTGAAATGTTTTCTTCTCTTGGCTCCTGTTATATAATCTCTTGTCATTTTTCTCCTGTCTTTCCTGCTAATTCTTCATTGACTCCTCCTCCTCTGCCAAATCCTTAAATACAGGTGGTTCTCGGGAGTCAGACCTAGGTCTTCTTCCTTTCACACTCTGCATTCCCACTCTTGGAAGTCTCATGTATCTCTCATAGTTTCAACTACCCTGTACACTCTAATGACTTCAAAATCATCATTTTCAGCCCAGACTTCTTTGAAATTCAGGCCCCTATAATACTGACATCTCCATTTGGATAGCTCAAAAACATCTCAAAATCAACATGTCCAAAATTATGTCCTTGGTTACCTTGGAACTAAAACCAATCTTCCATTTGCCAAAACCAGTTGTTAAAGCCAGAAACCTCTGAGTTAGACTTAATTTAATTTTTTCTTTATCTTACCCTCCACACCCCATCTCATCTGATGTGTAAATCCTTTCAATTCTACCTCCAAAATATAGCTCTTTCATCCATGTAATGATTTCCCATATAAAAATGATACCTCCATTACCATCATCTCTCAAAATTTGTAGTCTTAGGGCCACTTTACACTTTAAACAATATTTAGATGTGAGGAAATAGACAGGGAAAAGTTAAGTAACTTGTCCAAGTTTGTCCAGCTAAGAAGTGACCTTGTCAGGATTCAGACCCTTGGGATTCTGTCACTCCCTGTGAGAAGATTGAATTAGTTGATGATCATGTGTACAAATAGGTGCACTTAGGCCAGCACACACATTGCACAGTTCTGGCCATATTCTGTTTAATCAACAAAGAAACAAGGCACCCTAGGCAGTATATGCATGGGTGGCAAAGTGACTTGCTCACAGTA